AGTGAGTCACAGTGACTTATATGACAGATGACTTTCAGACAGTGAGCCACAGTGACTTATACAACAAATGCCATGATTTTCAGACAGTGAGCCACAGTGACTTATACGACAAATGCCATATCTTTCAGAGAGTGAGCCACAGTAACTTATATGACAAATGCCATATGTTTCAGAAAGTGAGCCAGTGACTTATACGACAAATGCCATGTTTCAGACAGTGAGTGAGTGACTTGTATGACAAATGCCATATCTTTCGGAAAGTGAGCCACAGTGACTTATATGACAAATGCCATATGTTTCAGATAGTGAGTCAGTGACTTATATGACAGATGCCATATCTTTCAGACAGTGAGTCACAGTGACTTGCATGACAGATGCCATATCTTTCAGTGAGCCACAGTGACTTATATGACAGATGTCATGTCATTCAGGCAGTGAGTCTCAGTGACTTATATGACAGATGCCATATCTTTCAGACAGTGAGCCACAGTGACTTATATGACAGATGACTTTCAGACAGTGAGCCACAGTGACTTATACAACAAATGCCATGACTTTCAGACAGTGAGCCACAGTGACTTGTACGACAAATGCCATATCTTTCAGACAGTGAGCCACAGTGACTTATACGACAAATGCCATATCTTTCAGACAGTGAGCCACAGCTGACTTATACGACAGATGTCATATCTTTCAGAAAGTGAGCCACAGTGACTTATACGACAAATGCCATATCTTTCAGACAGTGAGCCACAGTGACTTATACGACAAATGCCATATCTTTCAGACAGTGAGCCACAGCTGACTTATACGACAGATGCCATATCTTTCAGAAAGTGAGCCACAGTGACTTATACGACAAATGCCATCTTTCAGACAGTGAGCCACAGTGACTTATACGACAGATGCCATATGTTTCAGAAAGTGAGCCAGTGACTTATACGACAAATGCCATATCTTTCAGACAGTGAGCCACAGTGACTTATACGACAAATGCCATATCTTTCAGACAGTGAGCCACAGCTGACTTATACGACAGATGTCATATCTTTCAGAAAGTGAGCCACAGTGACTTATACGACAAATGCCATATCTTTCAGACAGTGAGCCACAGTGACTTATACGACAAATGCCATATCTTTCAGACAGTGAGCCACAGCTGACTTATACGACAGATGCCATATCTTTCAGAAAGTGAGCCACAGTGACTTATACGACAGATGCCATATGTTTCAGAAAGTGAGCCAGTGACTTATACGACAAATGCCATGTTTCAGACAGTGAGTGAGTGACTTGTATGACGAATGCCATATCTTTCAGAAAGTGAGCCACAGTGACTTATATGACAAATGCCATATGTTTCAGATAGTGAGTCAGTGACTTATATGACAGATGCCATATCTTTCAGACAGCGAGTCACAGTGACTTATATGACAGATGCCATATCTTTCAGACAGTGAGCCACAGTGACTTATACGACAGATGTCATATCTTTCAGACAGTGAGCCACAGTGACTTATACAAAAGATGTCATATCTTTCAGACAGTGAGCCACAGTGACTTATACGACAGATGTCATATCTTTCAGACAGTGAGCCACAGTGACTTATATGACAGATGTCATATCTTTCAGACAGTGAGCCACAGTGACTTATACGACAGATGTCATATCTTTCAGACAGTGAGCCACAGTGACTTATATGACAGATGCCATATCTTTCAGACAGTGAGCTACAGTGACTTATACGACAGATGTCATATCTTTCAGACAGATCGTATATCATGTTTTACAGTAACTGTATAAACAAATAAAACCATAGGGAATGCATTCTCACCATTGAGACTACGTATACACCGTTGATCTAAATTTTTGAGTAGGTTGTCATCAGCAAGATCTTGGTTTTCAGGGATTTTAGCCAGGGCTAGTCTGGAAAATGTCAAATCAATCTGTGGAGAAACAATCAATATTAATAATGAAACAGTAATCTGCTGGGAACAACACCATGCATAGATAAAAATGTTTATAACACATGCTTGGTCATTACTTAAGAATTACCCTATATTCTGCACATAATAAACAAATCCCAAAGTGATGCCAGTTTAGAAACCGCAACATACTATTCGTTGTATACAAACGTTTTTGACAGGCAGGGAATTGGCTGACTTATCGTAATCTGACAAGGATTCACCACAGACTAAGAGCACTATCCAATATCTTGTGAATCCTTAGTTTCAACTTTATTGCCAAATTACTGCATCTCGCTTACCACTCTTGTAAAATTACTGCATCTCGCTTACCACTCTTGTAAGGTTGCGACGAGCACGAGTCAAGCCAAACTGTGCCGTTATAGTATGCTAGCAGACAACTAATAATATTGTTATAATGAATTGAATTTTGATGATCACTGTTGTAGTAAAACATTCACTGTTTAAAATATATGGATTACATTAAATAATGCTTAATAATTGACATAATATCGAAATCTGAATGTGGTGTTATAAAACCCATACTGACTGGCTTTATTAACGCAATAGCATTCACCCATTTTTTCACAGGATTTAAAATTGAGTTGCCCACAATCATTTATCTTTGTGTGGGTAATTCAAAATCCAAAAGAAAAATATGGTTATCCTTCATGGCCAGTCAAGTCAATAGAAGATGATCAATAATAGCATAAACTGAACTAATACTTCTGCATGAATTTATGAATAGACAAGAAGAGAAGCAGACATACCTCAATCCCATCAAATACCATTTTGATAACAGGTACAAAAGCCTCTTCCACAGCCTGCAATCAAATAAATTACGAATTTTGTGAATTCTAAAGTTCAATTCCCCATCACATGTTTTGAGTAACTACCACACACATGTGAATGACATTGAACAGCAGAGAACGCATTAACATCTCTTTCCTAAGCACATTACCCATGATGCTTGAACATTTTTGTTGTGAAGAAAAAAGTTAACAGGTTTCATAAATAGACATGCATATTAAATCAAACAAGTTACAGAGTATGCCACAATTAACATAATAGTACCCATCTTTGAATAAGAAAGACACGGCCTTAGATGAATCATGAATAACTAAATAAAGGATTGAAAATGTAGAACTGGTTAAATGTCACAGTAGAAGCCTACATAAACATTGAATTTGATCACAAAAAATATTCACACATATCATGTCTTGCCTATCTGAAACAGTTTGAATGTATAAATTAGACCCACCAGAGTTGTGGTTGATATGTTGAAAACAAATATATATATAAACC